CGCGCTCGTGTGTGTGTGTGTGTGTAACTGTTTGTGTGTGTGAGAGAGAGTTAAAGACTGATAGTCACAGTTCAGTGGCCTAATCTCTAAGCTCGTCTGCTTATTGTTCATCTTTCCATGCGCAGGCCAGCACTGGCTTCTTCTAGCACCTGCATAGTCTTTTTATAACTTCTTTTTGTTGGTAAGATTATATATCTCGTATCCATCTCGTATACATCTCGTATCCATCTCTCTGAAGGTTATTTTTTGTTTTGCTTAGGGAGCAGACGATCCGCTCCTACGACGTATAGAGATAATCTTTTAGGCGTATGTTCATACATTTCATAATGTCTTTCAAACATATTTATATTTATTTGTTTCTCAGCACACAGTAATAATAGGAACAATTATTATTATTATTACACAATTAAACCAAGTCTGAGCTCCTTGAGCCCATAGAATATTTTACAGCTGTTGCCCCCCCCCCTCTCCCAATTCTGTAGAGATTCAGTTCGGTAAGAATGTCCACATTCGCATGGTTGTTAAACAGCAGCATTTCTTTCTTCTTGTGGATGGTTTTTTTTTACAGGTTTAATAATCTAAACCTTGATTTCTCACTGTGCATATTTACTGCTTCTACTTGAAGGCAACGAACATACTGGCAGCGTCAATGACTACACCACATCAGCGTCAATGACTACATCACATCAGCGTCGATGACTACACCACATCAGCGTCCATGACTACATCACATCAGCGTCGATGACTACACCACATCAGCGTCAATGACTACACCACATCAGCGTCAATGACTACACCACATTAGCGTCCATGACTACACCACATCAGCGTCGATGACTACACCACATCAGCGTCGATGACTACACCACATTAGCGTCCATGACTACACCACATCAGCGTCAATGACTACACCACATTAGCGTCCATGACTACACCACATCAGCGTCAATGACTACACCACATTAGCGTCAATGACTACACCACATCAGCGTCGATGACTACACCACATCAGCGTCAATGACTACACCACATCAGCGTCAATGACTACACCACATCAGCGTCAATGACTACACCACATCAGCGTCAATGACTACACCACATCAGCGTCCATGACTACATCACATCAGCGTCAATGACTACACCACATTAGCGTCCATGACTACACCACATCAGCGTCAATGACTACACCACATTAGCGTCCATGACTACACCACGTCAGCGTCGATGACTACACCACATCAGCGTCGATGACTACACCACATTAGCGTCAATGACTACACCACATCAGCGTCAATGACTAAACCACATCAGCGTCCATGACTACACCACATCAGCGTCCATGACTACACCACATTAGCGTCAATGACTACACCACATTAGCGTCAATGACTACACTACATCAGCGTCAATGACTACACCACATCAGCGTCCATGACTACACCACATTAGCGTCAATGACTATACCACATTAGCGTCAATGACTACACTACATCAGCGTCAATGACTACACCACATCAGCGGTCGATAGGGTAACAGACGTAGAAAGGGGAAGTAAAGGGGAACGGGTACTTTACTTTCTATACTGGCAACTCGACACTGAAGTCGGGAACGGAATTGTAAGAGTTGTGGGAGGTGGATGGGGTGCCTGTTCTACTAAATAATTCTTTGCCGAATAGCAAATACATATCCTACTGTATAATTTCCTCCTTTTTTCTCTCTCTCTCTCTCTCTCTTTTGCAGTTGCCAACAGTATTTGTGTAAGAGCGCTTAGACACCCCCTCTAACCAAGTGTAGAAATTGCCCAGTAAAGTTTATGTTCATACATTTCATTTGAAAGGGTGGGATGGGCGCCTAGAAAAATATCAAGACAGGAAGGAATGGTCAAGCGAAAAATAAAAGAATACAGTACAGCGAATACGAGTATGCGCTTGGGTGCTTGCCTGACCATGTGAGACTCTAACACTGGGGGAACGGAAACACGTGCCCAGTCGATCTGAGCAGTCATTGGCCAGGTCTAAATACATATTCATGAGCCACCATCTGCGAATTCCCGCCCACTTTTCTCATTCATAAAAAAATTTGCTTCACTATTTAAAACAATATTCCATAAATCCAATACTGCAGTTGATGGTATAAGACTTCTAAAATCAATTTTCAAACACGCAATGTCAATAAACTTTCAAAACTACTATTACATTCTTCGCCTTGCACACAGACAGCGCGTAGTGGTCTGGCGGTCTCTCACAGTCCGGTGCCTATAAAAAGTGACGTCCACTGTAATGTTACCCTATCCATTTTCGTCCTTATTAGGACGAAATTATTTGTCATTTGAAGCCCTACCCTGGCTTTTGCCAGGGGCCGCAATATAGGCAGGCCATACATATGGCCAAATGTCTGAACGCGGTTTCTGGGACCTCTCCACGGCGATCCTCATCCGCATGGTGGCGCTTTGTGTCATCGGGTGTTTATCGCTTGTGTGATGTCCTGGTGGGGTAGAAAGTCAGTCAGCCGTAATGTTACCCGGTGTTTGTTCTCCCTCAGACATTCATCCTCTACTGGTCAGCATTTATTTTGACGCAACAAGTCTTTATTACCAGAGAATATGTTTGAATATTCAACCAGTTGAAGAGACGTGTGAAACGTGCATGACAATTGGCTGTGGATCTTAATGTAAGTAGTTCATATTTTTTTTTAATCGATTTATTATATATACATCGGTATTACCATCACAATCAATGTTATTAAACATAGGATATGTACAGTAAGTGAACGACGTATCTCCACGCTCTAATACTTATTGACTATACAATGCTAACCTTATTTTTTTTTCAAATACTATATACATTGGTTGATGTCTCAGAGGCGGTCCCAGCTGGCAAAAATAATTTCGCGTTTCCTCCAGCACTTTGGTTGCACCAGTAATTACTTGCTGCTCTGTCTGAAGTTTGTTAAGAGTCTTCCGTGGGCGCATGACGTTACTAATGTGGTTCCATCTTGCAGCATGATGACCGATCCAGCTCTTCCGTTTTTCTCCTACTCCCTCCAGTGATCTATCTGAGTATACGTGTGTCCATTCGGGTTTTGGATAAGAAGTGTAGACATGTTCAAGAGTCGTTGAATGCAGTACTAGGTCACATTCTTTAGCCTTTTTTTCGATGCCTGGAATTGTTGTTGTGACTATGCAGTTAGGCTGTAGATGCAGGTTACACGCCTGGATCATTTCCCACGTTGAAAGATCTTTAGAAAGGATGTCACTGTTTTTTGCGTAGTGCAGTTTTGATAGATGGTGAAAGCTTTGTCTTTTCAGTCGGTTTTTAGTTAAGTTATTTCCTATTCATGGTTAGCGGGGTAGGGGTATCCCCTATCAAAGGAGAAGTAAGACGCCTCCTTTCCTCCGCTAGTCTACGGGACACCCTTGGGCAAGGTGGAGTACCCGTTTAGCCCCCCAATCAGGGTTTACGTGAAGCCATGGAAGCAGGTGGTGGATGGAGTGTAAGAGCAGCCGACAGGTATTGTTGGTTATGGTCTGCACTCTGCGGCGATAGGCAGATGATCTCATCAGTAGAGACAATGGCTATGGCCACCGACTAGTATAGTCACTGCTCAGGAGGAAAGCAATGGCAAACTACCTTCTGCAAATTTTGCCAAGAACCCATAACAATCATGAAAGAAAACATAACACAGAAGAGATCTGGTGGCGAGACCCCCAGGCCAGGCAGATCAGATAACACTGGGGAAGAGTGTGATACAGGGGTCGGTACTAGTAATCGTGATGACGGAGTTAATCCTGACTGTGTTACCAAGGAAATCCACTGTGTCAGACTAAGAAACAGAATGCGAATAGGAACGTGGAATGTGAGAAGTCTGTATGAAGGAAAGCTTAAAGTAGTATGTGATGAGATTGAAAGATTAAATATTCAGATCTTAGGAATTTGTGAACATCGTTGGAGTGGCAAGGGACATTTTATCAATGAATATGGAAGCTTTTTCGTATATTCTGGTAGAGATGTAAGAGGCCAGAGCGGAGTGGCATTTTGTTTAGATAAAACAACAGCAAAAGCTATTATGGGATATAATCCAGTTAGTGATAGAATCCTAACTATCAGACTTAAAGGCCGTCCAAAAAACATAACTTTCATGCAGGTATATGCACCAACTTCAACAGCAGAGGAGGGCGAAATTGAAGATTTTTATGCCATACTGCAAGACACATTAAATAAAATTGATCAGAATGATATAATAATAATAATGGGAGATTTTAATGCTAAAGTAGGTACAGGCAGAGATGAAAACGAGAGACACGTTTTAGGAAAATTTGGATTGGGTAATAGAAATGAAACAGGAGAAAAATTGATTGAATTTTGCATAGAAAATGAATTAACAATAGCTAACACACTTTATAAACAACACCCTAGAAGGCTTTTCACATGGACATCCCCTGACGGTGTTACCAAAAATCAGATAGATTACATTTTAATACAAAGAAGATGGAGATCGAGCATAACATCTGCAAAAACCCTGCGAAGTGCAGATTGCGATACAGATCATCAGTTACTAGAAGCAGATCTAAAATTAAAACTCAAAAAGCTTACCCGAGGACCAAGGCCATTTCGATTTGATCTCACAAAAATACCAGATGCATACAACGTAGAAGTGAAGAACCGTTTTGAGGTCTTGATGTCTGTACAAGAGGAAATGACACCTGATGAACTGGCGGTACAAGCTAGGGATATCTTGATAACAGCAGCTAAAGACTTAATACCCACCAGGACTAAGCAACATAAACCATGGATCACACCATACACGTTAGAACTAATAAAACAACGAAGAGAACTGAAAAAGAAAGGAGAAACCAATGATAGTAGGATGAAGTATAAATTTTTTACACGAGAAATAAGAAAGTACACAAGAAAGGATAAAAATCAGTATGTACAAGATTGCTGTATTAAAATAGAGCAGCATCACAAAAATGGAAGAGATTACGAAATGTTCAAGGAAATGAAGTTATTGACAAGAAATTTTCAACCTCAGTTAAATGTTATTTGTGACAGGTTGGGAAATACTTTAACAGAATCTAGACAAATTCTAGGAAGATGGCAGGAATACTGCAGCGGAATGTATGATATGAATGACAGTGAGGATATGAATGATATACATGAACCAGTAACAGTAGAGGCAGAACCTGAACCTTCATTAGATGAAATTTCATGGGCAATAAGGAGCCTGAAAAATGGTAAATCACCTGGATGTGATGAGATACCAGCTGAATTGATTAAAGCGGGAGGAGAAGAAAGCATAAAAATCTATCATGCATTATGTGAAAAGATATGGAAATATGGTATTTGGCCAAAAGACTGGAAGAGAACTATCTTCATTCCAATACCAAAAAAGGGTGACCTGAAATTATGTACAAACTATCGAACTATTGCCCTGATCAGTCATGCAAGTAAAATTCTACTAAAAATTATAATGAGAAAGACTGCAAAAGAAAATGGAAGAAGAGATTAATGTAGCTCAGGCTGGATTTAGACAGGGAAGAGGAACAAGAGATCATATATTCAACATGCGTTTAATAATAGAGAAGTGTAGAGAATTTAATGTAAATCTGTTCTTATGTTTTGTGGATTATTCAAAAGCATTTGACTGTGTACGACATCAGAAGCTTTGGGAAATCATGAGGAATATGGGCTTTCCATCACATATAGTGCAGCTCATTAAAATGCTCTATCAAGACCAACAAGCAGCAGTCAGAATAGATGGAGAGACATCAGACTGGTTTGGCATCAAGCAAGGAGTCCGTCAGGGATGTGTGCTGTCACCGTATTTGTTCAACCTGTACGCCGAAAATATAATGAGAAATGTAAGAGATGATATAAACAAGGAACAATATGATGCCCTAAACATCGGTGGTCATGAAATACCAGAAATTCGTTATGCTGATGATACAGTATTACTATCAACATCACAAAATGGTTTAGAAAACTTATTAACCTCACTTCAAAGAAATAGTGAAAAATATTACTTATTTCTTAACACAGCAAAAACAAAGATAATGCATACAAACAAAACTGCCATGGAGAAGGAAATATATGTTAATGAGGAAAGATTGGAAGTGGTGGAAAATTTCGAATATCTTGGGTCACTGGTTACCAACAATGGTGACACAATGAAAGAAATTAAACGGCGACTATCAATTGCTCTTCAAAGACTAAAACAACTGAATAAATTATGGAATTGTACAGATAGAATTACAAAGGTCAGATTTTTAAGAGCATGCATCTTTCCCATTGCAACATACGCCTGTGAGACCTGGACACTTACTAAACAAGCGGAACAGCGCATAAATGCATTTGAATATAAATGTTACAGACAGGTTCTAAGAATATCTTGGGTAAAGAAAAGAACAAATGCATCCATACTTCAAGAGCTGAATATTGAAGAGGGTTGGCTAGTAAAGACAATAAAACAAAGAAAATTGAAATATTTTGGTCACTTGAAACGTCATGGAGGTCTAGAGAGAACAATAATGGAGGGGTATATGCCTGGGAAGAGAGGAAGAGGAAGGCCAAGGAGAAGATGGGTGCAGGATGTGGCAGATGATCTCCAGATGGGTGTATCAGACGCAGGACATCTTGCTCATGATAGGAAGGTTTTCCGGAGGGTTGTTATGGCAGCGAGGTTCCGCGAGGGACATGCTACTGAATGAATGAATGAATATACAGAGCCGGATTTTGACTTGAATAATTACGCCAGCTAATCTCGAAAACTTTAAAAATATATGTGCATTTTACATGTTTCGATGATGGAAATTTGTTTATTCTTTTAATTTAATTAAAAGAAACAAAACAGATATCCTCTGCTTAATCACATAAATTGTATTCTAGAATCTTTTGAATCAGATTAAAAGAAACAAAAGTGTTTGGTGACCATTGCAGATTGTGAGGCCCTAAATTGTAGCTAAGTTGGCTTATGCCTAAACCCAGCACCCATAGTATATCCACCTTTCCGTGTGGGTTCCGGGCTCCCAGTATGCTCCCTAACAAGAAAGTCGTAAAGGTTAATAAATTGGGTTTCCTTCAATGTCGGAGTGCATCCGCAAGAGAGGAAAGGCACCAACAGTCTGCATATAAATAACCAAGATCTGTAAAACGCACATGCGCGTTTAATTCACACTGTGGAACAAGACTGATGTCAGCCGATAAGTGGACGAACAACCAGCAAAAGAACAGTAAAAAGAAGAAGTATACCAACCCTATTGGCGCCACAGCCTGGAGGCTAAGCTAAGCCTCGCCCCAAAAATGTTTGGCCCGCCCCCACTTCCATCACTTACTTAATTTGCAGTCGGCTATAGACCTACATTTTTTTTTAAAAGAATTTGTCTATGGTCATCATTCAACATGTCCTTGACAGAACGTCGCTCTCTTCACGGCACGTCTGTGAGTCTCTCTTTCTCTAGTCAGTTGTCCAGCTGTGTGTGCTTTCATAGCCGATGCCCCCTCAGTATCCTGTATCCATCTTCGTGGAGGGTGGCTTCTGCCTCGTTTTCTGAAAACTTCACCCTCCATCACCGTTTTCTCCAAGCTACAATGCTGCTACATTTGTCTATATATTTTCTATTATTTAAAATGCATTATTATACCTATTTACCATTCAGCACATTATTATTATTTTTCTCTTGAACAAGCTTTAAGCCTTTTAGGCCCCTAGCGCATAGAAAAGTGAAGGGGATGAGTTCTGAACCAATCCCCAAGTATGTCTGTGTGTGTGTGAGCGTGACTGTACGTGTTTGTGTGTATGTGAGTGCTTGTCTGTGTCCGTCTATGTATGCATGTGTGTGTCATTATGCATGGATGCCTGTATGTATGTGTGTTAGTATGTGTGTGTAGTTGTGTGTGTATTATATATATTAATGTATGCATGCATGTATGAATGTATTATGTGGATGTGTATGCGTGTGTGTGTATGAGTGTAAGTGAGTGGGTAGGCGTGTATATATGGGTATGTGTAAGCTCGCCCGAGTGCGTATGCATTTTACCACCTATACTTTTGTACTTTTTCTTGATATTCACAATATGTGCAACATTATATTATTTATATCAACATAACATGGTTTATTGATAAAATACAACCGCTGTGTAAAAGATGGGAATTTGGAAGGGCCGAATGTAAGACGGACCTGCGTGTTCAATCTATGGGCCTTTCAAAAACAAAAAGGTCTCTTCGTCCCCTCCTCCCCCCCCCTCCTCCCCGGGCCCATGGTTTTTCTCGTGACCGTCTGAGGGCTTCTCTCTAGCGGCAACGCTGACCAACCCGGTGGATGCAGTGGTCAGTATCGCGCGTGTCATTTTCTGGTAATCGGGCACTTGCCGACTGCGATCTTTCTTCATCTTGTGTAGTCTGAGTGATACAGGTTGTGTCCCAGTATCGTGGTTTTATGTATATATTGCGCTTCTAGGGTGGCTTGGGTCATGATGTCATGTGTAGCAGTTTTCAGCCACACCATTTATTCATCTCTTTCTTGTTCTTCCCCTCACTTACCTCACAGATGTTCTGCTGTAAAATGTCTCTACCCAGTTTGGTCTGGCTGCATTTTCACTAGATGGCCAAACCAAATTCATTCTTTGTCTATCAGTATAGTCTGGACATGGTCTTATTCCAGCTTTCTCTTTAATGTTGGTATTCATAGCCCTGTCTCTTTCTGTGTTGTTAGTGAATTTGCGGAGACAGCGCATTTCACGTGTAGCTATTTTCTGTTCTAGAGCTCTATCCACTGTCCATGTTTGGCATTGAAAGTATAAAGTGGGGATCACTTTAATTTGATGTTTTGCTGGAAGGGATATTTTGGTGTCTAGTCAGAGACTGCCTTGGCTGCGGAGAACACAATCCGTGTGACAACTACCTTGGCTGTATAAAACATAAACTGTGTGACATGTTTTAACGTTTCTTGTTATTAACTAACGGAACCGCTGTGCTGTAGTGGCACAGGGTATTCATAACCAATCATTTTGGCTCTCAGGTCGACCCAGCCTTGAATGTATACCAGGGGGAAAGTCCTAGAAAGTAAAGGCGACCGGCGTGACGCTGGCAACATCACCCAATCAGTGCCGATCTTCTTCTTCTTGTTCAGCATTCCGAGCCATTGAGGTTCATTGCTGCAGATATCACTCGCCTTCATTAATCTCTGTGGTTGGCCTCCTCTTTCCAGTTGGTGACACCAAGTGTTTGCAGGTCTGTCTAGACCTTATCTTTTCATAGTCTTTTTGGTCTGCCCCGTGGTCTACGACCGTTCAGATTCCTTGTGTAAATAGATTTTATCTATCTGTCATTCTCTCGCAGGATCCAAAGATTCGTCGTAAGATTCTGTTTTCAAAAATTTGTAATAAGCCTTTATCTCTTTTAGTTGTGCTTCAAGTTTCAGAGCCATATGGAACGATTGGTCTTTTCAACGTTTTATATATCTTGATCGTGGTGTTGCGAGACAGAGACTTTGACTTAAGCAGATATTGAAGAGCATAGTATATTTTATTTCCAGATTGTATTCTAGATTGTATTTCTACTCTCAGTATCTTGAAGCAGTTGAAGTTTACACCCAAGTATTTAAGTGTTGATTGGTCTATAAAATAGTAGGCGTGGAAAAAAGGTCGTTTACTGACTTTACTTGTTTACTTCATGTTCTTTTCCATTTATTTCCTCAGTAACTGAAATGTCTTTTTCGGCGTCTCTAAGTTTCTATTTTTCTATATACTGTTTCTTCTTCCTCTTTGTTCTATTATTAGTTTGTCCTATCCTAGATTATTGGTTCCCAATATTGCCGCTTGTCTCTCTTCAACAACCCGTCACCCAGCCCAGCTGCCCACATTTTCTGTTATATTGCTGCATGGGGAAACGGGGGGGGGGGGGGGGGGGGGGGGGGGGGGGGGGGGGGGTAAACACACTGGCGACTTCCAATTATGATGCACTGTTGTTTTTTTCTTACTGGTTTTGTTAAGTTATGACCCGTTGTTTTGTTTACAGATGATGACAGTGTTGTCCGTTTAGAGACACTCTTCGGACAGCTGACTCACAACCTCGGACAGCGGACTCACAACTGACCAGTGCTCTGAACCAATCCCTGACCACAGCTTATGTAACCACTGTAAAAAAAATAATCTATGGCTGCACCTTACAGAAGTGGAGCGATGTCACAATCAAGACCCGGCACTAGACAAGCTTCAAGTTTAAGATGGCGGGTTGAAAGTTCTGCAGCCAGATGCTGTGTCTTTCGTGGACAGAAACTCAAGAATGCAAAATCAACTGCCGCCCAAACACAACCTGAAAGTCCTCAAGCACGCTCCACTGTGAAGTTTCTATACGCTGCGGGAAGTGCCACAGCTGGTGTCTCTACGTCTGCCACTATCTCAGCAAGACAAGCGGCCTCAGCCACACGTATGCATGGAAGTAATACAGCTTTATATTTTCATTATTTGGAGAGGAAAATCAAGCTTATATCATCTACAGCAGATTTATAT